ACATCACAGACACACACCACACACACATCACACACATCACACACACATATCACACACATCACACACACACACACCACACACACATCACACACACACACATCACACACACACCACACACACACACACCCCACACACACCACACACACATCACACACCCCACACACACATCACACACACACACCACACATACATCACACACATCACACACACACAACACACACCACACGCACACATCACACACACACACACCACACACACATCACACACACACACCACACATACATCACACACATCACACACACACATCACACACACACACATCACACACCACGCACACATCACACACACACACACCACACACACATCACACACACCACACACACACCACACACACCCCACACACACCACACACACACCACACACACATCACACACACACCACACACAGATCACACACACATCACACACATTACACACATCACACACACACATCACACACACACACCACACACATCACACACACACACCACACACACATCACACACACATCACACACACACATCACACACACATCACACACACATCACACACACACATCACACACACATCACACACACATCACACACACACATCACACACACATCACACACACATCACACACACACATCACACACACATCACACACACATCACACACACACATCACACACACATCACACACACATCACACACACACATCACACACACATCACACACACATCACACACACACATCACACACACATCACACACACATCACACACACACATCACACACACATCACACACACATCACACACACACATCACACACACATCACACACACATCACACACACACATCACACACACATCACACACACATCACACACACACATCACACACACATCACACACACATCACACACACACATCACACACACATCACACACACATCACACACACACATCACACACACATCACACACACATCACACACACACATCACACACACATCACACACACATCACACACACACATCACACACACATCACACACACATCACACACACACATCACACACACATCACACACACATCACACACACACATCACACACACATCACACACACATCACACACACACATCACACACACATCACACACACATCACACACACACATCACACACACATCACACACACATCACACACACACATCACACACACATCACACACACATCACACACACACATCACACACACATCACACACACATCACACACACACATCACACACACATCACACACACATCACACACACACATCACACACACATCACACACACATCACACACACACATCACACACACATCACACACACATCACACACACACATCACACACACATCACACACACATCACACACACACATCACACACACATCACACACACATCACACACACACATCACACACACATCACACACACATCACACACACACATCACACACACATCACACACACATCACACACACACATCACACACACATCACACACACATCACACACACACATCACACACACATCACACACACATCACACACACACATCACACACACATCACACACACATCACACACACACATCACACACACATCACACACACATCACACACACACATCACACACACATCACACACACATCACACACACACATCACACACACATCACACACACATCACACACACACATCACACACACATCACACACACATCACACACACACATCACACACACATCACACACACATCACACACACACATCACACACACATCACACACACATCACACACACACATCACACACACATCACACACACATCACACACACACATCACACACACATCACACACACATCACACACACACATCACACACACATCACACACACATCACACACACACATCACACACACATCACACACACATCACACACACACATCACACACACATCACACACACATCACACACACACATCACACACACATCACACACACATCACACACACACATCACACACACATCACACACACATCACACACACACACCACACACACCACACACACATCACACACACATCACACACACCACACACACATCACACACATCACATACACATATCACACACACATCACACACACCACACACATCACACACACACACCACACACATCACCCACACACACCACACACACATCACACACACACACACCACACACATCACACACATCACACACACACACATCACACACACACACCACACACACACCACACACACATCACACACATCACATACACATATCACACACACATCACACACACCACACACACACACCACACACACCCCCCACACACATCACACACACACCACACACACACCACACACACATCACACACATCACATACACCCACATCACACACACACCACACACACATCACAGACACACACCACACACACATCACACACATCACACACACATATCACACACATCACACACACACACACCACACACACATCACACACACACACATGACACACACACACCACACACACACATCACACACACACATCACACACCACACACACACGTCACACACACACCACACACACATCACACACACACACCACACACACATCACACACATCACATACACCCACATCACACACACACCACACACACATCACAGACACGCACCACACACACATCACACACATCACACACACATATCACACACATCACACACACACACCACACACACATCACACACATCACACACACACACATCACACACACACATCACACACCACACACACATCACACACATCACACACACCACACACACACCACACACACACCACACACACACCACACACACATCACACACACACCACACACACATCACACACACATCACACACACACATCACACACACAGCACACACATCACACACACACACCACACACACCACACACACATCACACACATCACACACACACACATCACACACACACATCACACACCACACACACATCATACACATCACACACACCACACACACACCACACACACACCACACACACACCACACACACATCACACACACACATCACACACACACCACACACACACACCACACACACACATCACACATCACACATAGGCTACACACACACACACACACACACACACACACACACACACACCACACTCACACACACATCACACACACACACACCACACACACATCACACACATCACACACACATCACACACTCACACACACACACCCCCACATCACACACTCACACACACACACCCCACACACATCACACACACATCACACACATACATCACACATCACACACACATCACACACACACATCACACACATCACACACATACCACACACACACCACACACACACACACCCTCATGGTTTACATAGTGAGTTCCCGGTTAGCTGAGGTTACAGTAGATAGACAGACAGACAGACAGACAGACAGATAGATAGATAGATAGATAGATAGATAGATAGATAGATAGATAGATAGATAGATAGATAGATAGATAGATAGATAGATAGATAGATAGATAGATAGATAGATAGATAGATAGATAGATAGATAGATAGATAGATAGATAGATAGATAGATAGATAGATAGATAGATAGATAGATAGATAGATAGATAGATAGATAGATAGATAGATAGATAGATAGATAGATAGATAGATAGATAGATAGATAGATAGATAGATAGATAGATAGATAGATAGATAGATAGATAGATAGATAGATAGATAGATAGATAGATAGATAGATAGACAAATAAAAATTCAGCCCCAAGGATCCTAACAGCACTCATGCCTCTATTCCTTAAAATAAGCCATGATCACTCTGCCTCTGTCCCTGAGACTAGAAAGTTCTGGAAGACATTAGTGGTACTTCAAGTTTTCTTTCTGCCTCGGGTAAGGCAACAGGGCCAATGGAGACAGGATTGGAGAGAGCAAGCTCAGGAGTCAGGGTCCCTGGGCTCAGATCTGGGGTTTACCACCTATTAGTTGGGGCCCCACATGCCTGACTTCACTTTCTGTAAAGTGGCTCTGGTGACACCCAGCCCTGACTTGAGTCAGGTACTGCCTTACAGCAGTGAGGCTTCAGGTAAATTCACCTACATGTGCCTCCTTTTGAAATGAGTATGGTAATCCCTTCCTCACTGGGCGATGGTGAAAACGAGACCAGTTTTGAAAAGTTCCTGGACCAGACAGGATACAGGAAACCAACAACAAAGCATCTCCTCATTTCATGCCACTGAGCCAGCTTGAGTCAACCCTGGTGTTCCCTTGGTAACCAGCATGGGAAATGAGATGGAAGTAGAGGTAGCTCCAGCAGCAGAGCTCCCTCAGATCCTGCGTCTGCTCCCTGTTCCCTAGAGCATCTGTCTCTAGTTACCCTTGGGCCCCATGGTGCGCCTTGGCCTGGTTTGGAATGAAGGTTGTTTTTGTTTCATTTTGCTTTATAAACACAAACACTCCCCGATTTCTCTTCTCAGAGGCCTGAGGAGGAAGCTGAGTCAGGTGAGGTGTGGTTACTGTGAAATTGCACCCTCCCCTTGGTGAGGGCTTGGCTGACCTACTCCACGCAGGCTGACATGCACACCAGCTCATTTCCCTAATGACATGAAAAAAACAAGAGTCTAGAACGTAGGACGGCTGCTTAGCAGAAATAGCAAGGGTCTTGGGAGTCCCAGCTGGGGTTAGAATTTCTGCCCCTTCTTCTTGGTAACTGACAAGGAGGTTGGGCAAGTCAAGGAAATGCTGCAGCCAGGCTGTCACCCTGATAATGGTGTGGCCTGCCCTGTAGGATTAGAGGGAGGCTTAGTGCTAATGGATGGAAAGCTGGTGGAAAAACACGATGTCCAATGATGCTGCATTCTCATCCCTTTCAGGATGACAACCCGGGTCCTGGGTTCTACAACGTTATCCATCAGTCTCCGGTATTCAACAGCGCCTCACTTTCCAAGAGAGGAACGTGTACTTTTCCCTCCACGGTGAGAGCCCTTGGGTGTTAACGGGTCAGCTGTTTCCTCCAGCATTACATCATGACATGTTGGACAGCTGAGCCTTCCTCTTCAGAAGTCCTGGGTTCTAATTAAGGAAGTAAACACCTCCTGTGATTTCATTAGCTCTGTATCTTTAGGCCATTTTTCCCAATGGACACCTGAGGATAAAGTGGTTTAAAAAAAGCTAGAACTTTATCGATTATCCAACTCACAGTTGTGGTCATTGAGTAGAAGCAACAAGTGTTTGCCTGACGTTTTTAGGCATGCTGGGAAAATTCTGAAGCATCTAGCCCTGAAATGAATTTTTTTCCTAAATATTTTATTTATTATTATTATTTATTTTTTTTTATTTTTTGGTCTTTTTGAGACAGGGTCAACTCACTATGTAGACCAGGCTGGCCTTGAATTCACAGAGATCTGTCTGCCTCTGCCTCCCCAGTGCTGGGATTAAAGGTATGTGCCACCCACACCCAGCATTATTTATTATTTTTATTTTATATGTATGAGTGTTATGCCTGCATGTAGGTAATGTTAAGGTTCAGATAGCCCTGCCCCCTCACCAACAGGGTCTCATCTACTTCTCAAGCTCCTGAGAAAAGGGAACTGAGCTGATAAACACCTTGGTCTTTGAAGTCAAGAGAAGCAGACTTTTCTCCACTGTTTGGCCAACAGGGCAGGCAGGCTTCCCCTTTGATCTCTAAGGAGAACAGGTTTTAACAGTTGGGCTCCCTGCCCCCCCCACCTTAAAAAAAAATACATCTTCCTGCCTTCTGCAGGAAGCAGAAGCCTCCCCCTTAAAAAGACCCCAGCTCACAACCTGGGCAGACATTTTCCATGCCCTGAAGGGAATCTGTCCCATGTCTTCTTTTGCTAATAAACTCTATTCCGATGGAGTCTTACCTGTGTCCTGGTGCATTCTCCTGATCAACTGGATTCATCCATGGGCTACTTTTTACCTATCAGCCTGAAGAGGACAGAAGAGGCTGTTGGATCCCCTGGAACTGGAGTTATGGATAATTGTTATCTGCCATGTGGATGCTGGGATTCAAACCTGGGTCTTCTGTAAGAACAGTCATTGCTCTTAACTGCTGAGCCGTCTCTCCAGCCCCCCTGAAATGATTTTTAACACTTGCTTAATGTCATTGGGTTGTTCAAATCACTGAGAAATTGGATGGAACAAAAAAGAGAGCAGGGGGCTGGTGAGATGACTCAGAGGGTAGAGTGTTTGCTGCCAAGCCTGATGACCTCAGTTCGAATCCTGACACTCACATGGAAGAAGGAGAGAACCAGCTCCTGCAAAGTTATTCTCTTACCTCCATACTGTGTCGAGAGCATGAACACCCCCCCCACTAAATAAATAAATGTAATGAGAGAGAGAGAAGAGAGAGAGAGAGAGAGAGAGAGAGAGAGAGAGAGAGAGAGAGGATTAAGAGAAGGTACTGGACCTGAAGTACAGTGATTTTTGTATGTTACGGTGTGATACTTAACTTTTGTTGAGGGTTCATAGTCAAATAGCCCCATGAAGTGCAAGTGACCCTGAGCAGACTTGGGAAAAGGCAGCCCTTTTGTAGTTTTTGTTTTGGGATGTGTATGTGTGTCCTGAGGATGGTAGAACCCAAACCCTTGAACCTGGTAGGTAGGCACTTTGCCATGGAGTTACATCCTCAGCCTAAATTGGCAGGCAGGTCAGAGCAAGGTTGCCTGAGGTGGAACAGAGAGAAAGAAAGCTGAGCCAGACTCTGACTTCAACAGAACACGTGTGCCTTCTTGTCCCTTTAAAGGTTATGAGTCTCTTATACAGACACATTATTATGCCTGACGCTGGGACTAATTTTCTTTTAAAAAATTTTTAAAATTTAAAATTTTATGTGTGTGAGTGTATTGCCTGCATGTGTGTAAGTACACACATGTTGTGCAATGCCCAACGAGGTCAGAAGAGGGTGTTGGATTCCCTGAAACTGGAGTTACTGGTGGTTGTTAGCTGCCATGTAGGTGCTGGAAATTGAACCCAGGTCCTCTGCAAGAGCAGGCAGTGTTCTTAACTGCTGAGCCATCTCTCCAGCCCCTAATTTTCTATTACCACACAAAAGGACCATTTATGGCCCATTGAATGTAGTCACTTTGGTTTTGTTGGAAGTTGGTTTGGCAGAGTTGAATACACAGGAGAAAATGACTTTGGAATAAAGTTTCAAGGTCACGATACCCCCAGTAGGTTCACAGAATAGCTAGACTTAGAGCTGATGTCCTGTCCCCTCCCAGGAGAAAGACTCCAAAGCAACTGGCAAAAAGTGGTATCTCACAGTGCCCAGCATTGGAGATGGATTGAAGACCTAACCCTGACTCAGCTGTGGAGTCTCATGTGACCTCATGCACGTCACCTTTCTGTGCATCATAAAAGCAGAGACTTCCTGCAGGCTCTGGGCAAACTGCAGTGAGAGACTCTCAGAAACTGCAAAGAAGGCCATGCGTCTGCACTGACCCTGTCTGAGTCACCCTCAAGACTTCCTGAAGCACCCAGGTTTTCTCTCTGAGAACTTTTTTTGCCAAACAGTGGCACTGCCATCCCTTCTTGGTATCAAGAAGGGACTGGATTAGAGAGAGGCATGGTCAAGTTCCTGCCAGGCTTCACCTGAAGTAACTTCCAGATGGTGAGGCTGTCCATTCAGGGCAGAAGGCCCATGGAAGGTCTGAGAGCTGTAGAACACAATTAAGCCCTTTTTTTTTTTGGTCTTTTTGAGACAGAGTCTCCCTGTACCTCAGTTGGCCTGGAATCATTATGTAGACCAGGCTGGCCTCAATCTTACAGAGATCCACCTGCCTCTGCTTCTTGAGTAATTAAAGGCATGCACCACCATGCCCAGCCCAATCAAGCTCTATTTAAATAATAAATAAATAAATAAATAAATAAATAATGAAAACAGAAGAAGGCAGATGTTGGCTTGACCTTTTTGATGGTCCTGAGACTTCAGTTTCTTTGTTTTGTTTTGTTTTGTTTTGTTTTGTTTCTCAAACCAAACCAAACCAAACCAAACCAAACCAAACCAAACCAAACCAAAGCAGATGCCACTGTGAAGAGTCAGATGAACTGACTCCATTTTGGCTGGCTGTTTCAGGCAAGCCCGGGCAAGCCCAGGCATGTTGTAAATCTTTGGTTACTACCCCCCACCCCGGAAAGCTATAGGTTAAGCAAGCCCGGGCATATATAAAAGCCTTATAAGGTAAAAACAGAAACTTCTGGCCTCACAGATTACAGTCAGCGCATCCCAATGCCCTAAAGACAGCCCCTACCAGTAAGAATCCTCCCCGTACTCAGGGCATAGGACCATCCGATCATTTTAAAGGATGCTTGGCGCCCGGGCTTCTGTGAAACTTCCATATAAAAGCGTAGTTTGGGGCTCTCAGTACGGATCCGCTGTGTTGGTGAAATCTGAGGCCGGAGCTTAAGCCTGAATAAAGGCTCTTTGCTTTTGCATGCTCTCCGGACTCCTTGGTCACTGGGGGTCGCAGGATCAGGGTGTAACAATTTTACCTGGCTTCACATTCCTTTTCTTTCTTTTTCAAAAAGATCAATGTTTAATTATGCGTATGTGGAGGGCGTGTGTGCACCCCATGTGTGCACACACCTTAAGAAGCCAGAAGCTGGCATCAGATCCCCTGGAGCTGAAGTTACAGGCTGTAAACAGTCTGATGTGGGTGCTGGGAGCTAAACTTTGGTCCTCTGAAAGAGCAGCAAGTGTTCTTAACCACTTAGCCATCTCTCCAGTCCCAGCTTTTATTTCTAAATACTTAGGTTCTTGTGTCCTTGGTCAGAGGTCTGAAGTGGTTGGTGAGACCCCCACATGGTCCTTAGTTCCTTTGTGACCTAGATGAGGGGCAGGATGCTACTTCTTCAGCCCTTCAGTGACTTTTGTATTAGCACCTTCCCCACTTCTAGATCCTAAGACTCAGGGAATTAAAGCCTTTCTCCTCAGAGAAAGATCATGACAGCCCAGAGGAGGGTGATTAATAATTGTGAAGCCACTCAAAAGTCTCTACAGGACTGTAAATTTTACATACTTCCTGATGGCTGCTGGAACAACTACACCCCGCATTTTGAGACCTGTCACCTCTCAGAGTTGACATGCTATGAAACACCATATTAAGGCATTTAAGTTTTGGCTCTGGAGGCTTCTGCTGTCTGACTAAGAAGGCAGATGAAGCAGGAGGGTGGGGCCTCTAGAGGCCTTTCCGGGTTGCACCACGGTAGGAGTGGTTCTGGAAGTGGTATGTGCTGGGGAGAGGTTCATAAATGCCAGCCTGGGGCCTGAGTGGAGACCACAGGCCTGGAAGGTAAACCCAAGAATGTAGAGCATTGAAGAGTGAGTTCTTTGGACACTGTTCCTATTCCAACGCCTCAGGAAACTTTGCCTCCACAGGGAAGTTTTCAGAACACCCCCACCCCTGCCTCCAAATATAAAAGTGATGGGTCTTCGAAGGCTAAAGCATGCCATGATGGAAGTAGTTTGCTGTTACTCCAGGCTGTGCCTCTGGACCCATTTCTCTTTAGAATGTTATATCTGACGCTCATCACAGGGTGGAGGCAGACCGCCTTGATGAATGAAGACGCTGGTCCCACCACTTTACTAGCAGAAGTGCAGCTTTTTTTTTTCTGCTGTAAAATGGCGATTCTCATAATGTCCCTGCTTGGGGTTGCCATGAAAACCAAAGGCAACAACAAATACTTGATAAACAATTGGCCCCAAAGCGAAGGCACCACATCTACAAGGCTGGGTGTGTGTGTGAAGTGTTTTTGCTTCTGTGGACACTGAAAATGCTTACAGGTAGAGCTGGGACTTGAACCCAGGTTAGAATCTGGATGAGGCTAGCCCCCGTTCACATACCTCTGGGGGTCCGTAAACCAGAGCTGAAAATCATCCCTATAAGCCCTAGGGAGGGGTAGGAGGAGCAACGTCTCTCTCAGTTTTCCCCTTCCTGTGCTTGTACTGTTATTGACCTCTAAGGAGTGGAGAAGACCCAGGGCAATGTTCCCAAGCTTTTAACCATAAAATTATGGGAAATTTTTTGTTTTATCGGAGTCCAATACCAGTCATTCTGTCCTAGGGTAAGGAGATGTTATCACTGAGTTTCTATGGCTTTTGTTCCTATTTATTTGGCAAACATTGTGTTTGTCTTTTTTTTTAATTTTTATTTTGTGTGTATGAGTGTATTGCCTGCATGCATGTAAGTGCACCCGTGTCGTGCAATGCCCATGGAGGTCAGAAGAAGATGTCAGATCCCCTGGAACTGGAGCTACAGATAGTTAACGACCATGTGGGTGCCAGGAATTGAACCCGGGTCCTCTGCAAGAGCAGTCAGTGCTCTTAACCGCTGAGCCATCTCTCTAGCCCGATTGTGTTTGTCTTTAACTGAAAATAGTTTATTGTGCTTTCCTGAAAGGGATGGTTGTTTCTACTGAAACAGCATTAACTATTGTGGGTTTTGTGAAAGCAGTAAATTTTTTTTGTTGTTTTGGATGATTTTTAATACAATTTTTTGGCTTTATTTATTTTTATTTTATGAGTGCTTTGCATTTATATAGGTAAGTGTACCATGTGCATACAATACCTATGGAGGCCAGATGAGGGTGTTGGATCCTCTGGAACTGGAGTTAAGGATGGTTGTTAGCTGCCATGTGGGTACTAGGAACCAAACTCTGATCCTCTGATAGAGCAGCTAGTGCTCTTAATTGATGAGCCATCTCTCCAGCCCTGGTGACTTTTTTTTGAGACAGCATCTTATTACATGGCCAAGGCTGACCTCAAACTCAGTGTTGTCTTACCTCTGCCTTCCAAGTGCTGGATTACAGGTGCATGCTACCATACCTGGTGTGAAAACAGTGATTTGGTGGGGGTGGGAGGCATGGGTGAACAGCCAGCTCCGAGCAGCACTGCCTTTTAAGATACCCAAAGCAGCTCCTTATAGAGGCCATTGGAATGACCTCTAACCCTTCCCATTACCTGAGTTACCCTGCCACTGATGAGGCAGCTGTAAGTGGCCTAGAACAGGACTAGGTGGAAGTGTATTGATGGCAAAATTATCCTTGCCAAGTCTCAAACAGAAGACGACTAATTTGGGTCAGTTTACAGAAGTTGAAACAGGTCTGAACTTGCATTTTCCAGGAGCAAATTCTCAAAGCCCAAGGTCTGCATACCACTGTTACTTGCTACAGTCTCGCCTTTTAGAAGACACTTGTAAGCTGGGCGTGGTGGCTTACGCCAATCATCCCGGCACTGGGGAGGCTGAAGCAGGAGGAATATTGGCAGTTTGAAGCCAGCCTGAACTACACACTGAGTTCCAAGGCAGCCTGGGCTACAGAGTGAGACTTTGTCTCAACAAACCAACCAACCAACCAACCAACCAACCAACCAACCAACCAACCAACCAACGAACCACAGATGGACCTGGTACAGGGTCCCTTCCTTTTGACCTCTGTCCTAAATTTATAGCCACCTGACTGCATGATAATGCTGATTCCTTTGACTTCCTCCTCACAGTGTGCCCGGCTGGGCAACATCATTTCTAAATATCCTGCGGCGAATGCGTACACCATCCCGTCAGAATTGGTGTCAAAGAAGGACTTCAGCAATTCCTGTTCCAGCATGTTCCAGCTACCAAGCTTCATCAAAGTAGACAAATCGGAAACTCCTGCACCCAACAATTATAATGTAAGGACATGGACTGCCCTCACCCACTGCCAATGTTGAAAGGGTGGGTTACCAACATGCAGGGAAGGGGAGGTGGCCCCAGGAGCATCTTACTAACACAGAGGGTCAGTCAGTGAGCATTTGTGAAGTCCACGGGTGCCTGAGCCTGGGCAAAAATCTTCTAGGGAATCCAAAGGAGGTTAGCATGGGAAGGCTACACTCCAGCAGAGGTTTCTTCCAGTCGCCCCTCTCACAGAGCCTTTCAGGACAGGCTTTTCTCCTCTGATACAATAGATATATTATTTAGCACTTCATCTGCTGATGCCATTCATTTACTTTTTAGATTAAATTTTTTAAAATTATTTTTATTTTATGTGTGTGAGCGTCATGCTTGCATGTGTGTAAGTGCACCCATATCATTCAGTGCCAGAGGTCAGAAAAGAGCAACGGATCCCCTGGAACTGGGGTTACAGACAGTTGTTAACCACCATGTGGATGCTGGAATTCAAACCTGAGTCTTCTGCAAGAACAGCCAGTGCTCTTAACCTGTAGCCCCAGTTGTCCTGGAACTCACTATGTAGACCAGGCTGGCCTTGAACTCACAGAGATCCGCCTGCCTCTGCCTCCCAAGATCTGGGATTAAAGGTGTATGCCACCACACCTGGCCTTAAGATTTTTTAATAGGGAAAAGTCAACTTCTTTCTACTATCTGAAAGAAAATAATAGTTCTCTGAGCAGAATAGCATGGGTGGCAAAGGGTGTATTCGGGAAGCTCAGCTTCAAAGCTCCACTCTGCCACACTGACTGACTGGCCTTGGCTATGCTGTCAGGCTTTTCAGGACTAAGTTTATTGATCTCTAGCATGTGGGTTGATGGTGGTGTTAAGTGAGGGAACACAGGCTGAAGGGTGGTATAGCCCCTGGAACATGAGCCTGGGGAAGGTGGCTGGCTGTCTTTGGGCAAGTTATGAGGTCTCCGGACCACAGCTATAAAATGGAACTGATGACATCTGCCTTATGAAGTTAAGACAAAAGTCATGGAGACCGCGAATGTTTGAGTTCTTGAACTCTGACACGGATGGCACGAATGTTGGAGTGCCACATTTGAAACGACTTTGATCTTAGATACTTCATTTTCAAGTTTCTCTTTTGTTATATGAGTTATGTCATGTTTATTTGTCTGGCTACAAAGATCTTTCCCACTCTCTGTGACTGGGCTAATCAACTAGATAGTCGCTCAGAGAAATACATCCAAAAATGTTATCTTTTTGATATCAGTCAAATATCAATATAAGATTATTAGTGAGCTATCAGAAAAACCCTTCTCCCATTAGAAGTCTTTGCATTCCAATGTATATTGATACTTATAGCCACATGCTAGAACATGATGATGATGATGGGGGTGGTGATGGTGGTGGTGGTGCTGGTGATGATGATGGTGGTGATGATGGTGGTGGTGCTGATGGTAGCAGTGGTATGCTTTTCATGCACTGAGTGCTATTCTAAGAATCATGTAGTCCTTGTAGTTAACTCCTAACAGATCATCAAAGCACCATATTTAATGGAGTATCTAATTCTAGTTCACAGAAGAGGAAGCTGAGATGTGTGTGTGTGTGTGTGTGTGTGTGTGTGTGTGTGTGTGTTGTCCTAAGTTTTCCAGCTCAAAGCTATCATTTGTACACCAGTGTCATGAGTGTACAGCTGGGGAACGATGGGAGCCACAGTGATCCAGCCCCAAGGATGGCTTGAATCCTGTTGCAACTCTGTGCCAGATTTCAGTGAGGAACTCCTGAGCTAGTAACAGACAAGCACAAGGATCACAGGGGCTGAGGAGATGGGTCAGTCAATAAAATGCTTGCTGTGCAAACCTGAGGACCAGAGTTTGGATCTATAGCACCTACATGAAAAACTGGGCATGGTGATGTGTGCCTGCAGTCCCAGCTCTGGGGAGGCAGAAGCAGGAGGGTTACTGGAGTTTGCTGGCCAGCTAGCCTTGCTGAATCACTGAGCTCTAGGTAAGTGAGGGATCCTGTTCCAAAAAAATAAGATAGAGAGTGATAGAGGAGGATACCAGATGTTGACTGTTGTCCTACACACACACACACACACACACACGCACACACGTGTGTATGTGCATACCTGTACACACACGTATACAAGGAACACAGACCACATGCACATATACATGTTCGTGTATGCACCTGTTTATACACATACACATACAGGAGCACATATACCACACACACATACACATGTTCATGTATGCACCTGTATACACACACATACACATATAGGAACATATACACCACATGCACTTACACATGTGTATGTACGCACTTGTGTACATGCAAATAGAGAGTGATAGAGGAAGACATCAGATGTTCACTGTTGTCCTCGACACACGCATGTGTGCATGTATTCACCTGTGCACACACGTACACAAGGAACACAGACCACATGCACATATACGTTTGTGTACACACTTGTGTACACACATACACCACATGCACACATACACACACACACACACACACACACACACACAAACACATATTCCAAATCATGGTCAGGTTTAAAGGAGACAAACATTTGGGACTCGAGAAAGTATATATGGGATACCAGGGGTTGGTAGTACCAAATCCTTTAGACAGTAGTCAGAGAACCCTTAGAGGATGAGAACCAAGGATCCAAGGAAAGGCTAGAGTTGAAGGAATAGCATATACAAAGGTCCTGGGTGCTTAGCTCACAAGGAACTATAAAATGGTCAAAGAGTATTTATTATGAACTAGGAGGAAAGAGGGGAAGGGGAACCAGACAGATGTAGACAATGGTTAGCTCAGCATGTCTCTGAGGACCCTACGAGGGTGTTTGTGTTCTCTGCACTGGGAATCTCATGAAGGGGTGAGAAGGGTGAGAAATGGCCTGAGGTAGTTTCTAGAACAGCTCCTCCAGACTTCAGTGTGATTTAAGAGTGGGGTTTGAGGGCTGGATAGATGGGTCAGTGATTAAGAACACTGGCTGCTCTTGTAGAGGACCCAGGTTCGGTTCCCAGGATCTACATGGTGGCTAACAGCTATCTGTAACTCCAGTTCGAGGGGATTCTATGCCCTCCTCTGTCCTCCTCGGGCATTGTACGACACGAGTGTGCTTACATATATGCAGGCAATATACTCATACACATAAAATAAAATAAAAAAAATAAGTGGGTTTTGAAAAACCAGCAAGGAAACCATTAGGCTCACAGGAGAGAGGACAGGTGTGGTCCAAGAAATCATCTGTGCAGGTGCACAGCGTTCGGAGAGAGGGGCCCAGGTGGTCTGGGAGACAGGCACAGGCATGACCTCTGTGTTTCTGAGTACCCCTCAGTTTTGACCCTGGCTGCAGCGGAGGGTGGTATAGCTCGAGCTTGGCCTGGCTGTCCCCCAGGCCTTTGCATGTATCTTAAAGTGGCCAGTTCCATCCTTGCACTGTCCCATGAGGTCCTGGACACAGTAACATGTATAAATGTCCATCGTCAAATGAATGACCTCCAGGTCCATATAGCTGTGAATCTGCAAATGACCATGGCCTACACCAAAATTTTATCCTTCTACCAATA